TAGCCCGTTGATTTCGTGAATCTGAGTTAGAGCCAGTCAGGCACCAGATGTGCTTAGGCTCAGTAGTCTAGCAGTTCAGGTCCTAGCAGGGCACCAGGTGCCAGTTATACCCCCCAAGGCGGGGCGTGACATAACAAGAGGGACATTGGAATTCATATGAGAATACACCATTGAATTGAATTAAACAAGCTTTTTTATTTGTGTTCTTAGCATCAAATCAAGTGCTTTTCGATCAGTTGTTTAATCACTGAGTCACTTTGATTAAAAGAGGAATCCTCAATTCATCACGAAACAAAAAGAATCAAGGATATCGTCCAACTTATGAGCCATCAGACTATTATTTTATTTAGTGTTATTTCATTATCTGATTTCTATTTTATTTTTTAGACCAGACCAATCACGTATTTTTTAAGCCTCACTACAAATTCAAATGTACCTATTTTTAGGATAAACAAAATCCAGTCGCACACTAAAAGCCTTGAGTGTGCCTTAAAAACTAAATTTGGGCCTCAAACTTGGGCCTTGAGTGCCAAATCCATCGGCCTAACTCAGCAGAACAAGATGGATACATACAAATTGTATATATACATTAGCACTTTCTAGAATATACATGAATTGTACAAAATAGTTACCATTTGTTACATGGATTTTTGTATTTTAAATTTTAATCCTTACTTTTTGCACCAATGTCGATTACGGCTCATCAGAATTTAGTAGTTTTGGCGCAGATCCAGTAGTGTATTTAAAAAATTACTTGATATATATAAATAATTTTATTTTTTCAGAATCTAAAATTTATAGACTCAAAATTTTAGTTTCCATTATAATATATATTTTTCTTTTTAGTTTGGCTCGAAAAAAATATTATATTTTTTTATTTTAGAAGTAAATTTAACTTTAAACTTCCCATTTCTCTTAAAATATGTCTGATAAGGAGGAAAATACTTTTCACATTATAACTATCTTCCAACCCTACGACACATCCACCCCCATGGCCCACATCTTCATTGGAGCGTAAGCAGGCTTTTAGTTACGTATTTATTTGAACTCATAACTTTCGATATGGAGTGTGTGTTTGTGATATATATATATAAGTCTGAATAGCACGCACGTCTCCATCAATGCATTTGCTTATCACGGTAACATTATTTTGGTCATTTCGTGTATTTTTTTATGTGTTTTTCAAAAGTAATAAAAATATGAAAAATATGGGGCATTACTTAGTAATTTCACACATTAAATAAGCGTGAATAGCAGGCACGTCTCCATCAATGTGCTTGCTTATTACAGTAGCAGTATTTTGGTCATTTTGTGTATTTTTTGATGTGTTCTTCAAAAGTTAAAAAAAATAAAATTATAGGCATTACTTAGTAATTTCATACATTTTAAGATATAATAATTTTTAAAATTTGTGGACATTACTCATTTTTTTACTATCTAATAAAGGTGAAAGCAGACACGTCTTTGTCAACGTGCATGCTTATCACTGTAAGAGGATTTTGGCCATTTCATGTATTTTTCTGTGTATTTTCTAAAGGTAAAAAAAATTTAAAAATACAGGCCATTACTTATTACTAATAAGCATGAATAACAGGCACGTCTCCGTCAATGCGCCTGCTTATCACGATAACAGTATTTTGGTCATTTCATGTATTTTTTATGTGTTCTTCAAAAGTAAAAAAATACATAAAAAAATATGGGGCATTACTTAGTAATTTCACACATTTTAAAATATAATAATTTTTAAAATTTGTAGACATTACTTATTTTTTTACTATCTAATAAAGGTGAAAGCAGACACGTCTTCGTCAACGTGCATGCTTCTCACCGTAAGAGTATTTTGGTCATTTCATGTATTTTTCGGTGTGTTCTTCAAAGGTAAAAAAAAATTACAAAATACAGGGCATTATTTAGTAATTTCACACATTTTAAAAATATAATAATTTTCTGAATTTTGTGGGCATTACTATTTTTTCCTGTGCATTGATGATATGAGAAATTGTATCATAATTAAATTGTTTGTAGTGTTCACGAATAATAACTATTACGGCTTACTTTTATTTTGAACTTCAAAAATAACAAAATAATTTCAGATAACTATTTTTAGCTTATCCACTACACAATATATAATACACAATATAATGTTATTCGTATTGGGTCCGGGTGAAGCTCGAGTTATCCTGACTAGTGTGTGTGTGTATATATATAAACTAACTTTATCAGTGCAATGAGTTCAATTTAGAAAAATCTCAAGAGTTAATCATATTAAATTTAAATTCTGAATCGACGCGCCTTATCTCCACCATCCGTACCACTCCTCACCTGCATAGTGTTTCCTTAAATTATATATAAATATTTTTAAGATAATATTTTTTTTATCAAACACGATAAATTAATAAAAAAATCACTTATTTTTTCATAAAAAAGTTCCTTTATAACAAGCCCACCTTAATGTGATAATTTATATTCATTAAGTTTAATGGATATTTCTGATATCCAGGCAAGTTTTTCTTGGGTAAGATCATATGTAATTTAAAATTCACCTTTATAATCAGAGAGAATTCTACTTTAAGTTATTGCTTTTAGTGTATAAAATTACATACATACATACATAAATAATATGAAAAGTGCTTTTGGAAAGTTAAGGAAAAGAAAGTTTTTCATATAATGTATAATATAATATTTTTTATATATCATAAACTAACAAAAGGATTCTATCTAGGTGCTAGCAATTAGTATATTATATTGATTATGATGGAATGTAGAATCAGTTACCACTTAACATATACTACTACCTTCTTTTTTTAAAAAATATTTCATCCGACTTTTGATATTCATATTAAAATTTGATTAATAGCTTATTCGGTCAAGTTTTAAAAATCAGTTCATTTTGAAGGCAAAAAAAAGGAGGGTTATTCCAGAAACACTTATTTTCTCCAAAAACGTTTGGTCTAACATTCAACTTTTTTAAAAAATAAGTACTTTTAGAAAAGAAAAAAAAAGGTATAATTAGTCTTCCAAATATTTGGCCAAACAAGTTATAATATAGATTTACACATTGCAGAATCTGAGGGTAGCACTCCCAACAAAATTTATTTCATTCTCAATATTTGAATTTAAAACTTTAGACTAAAAACGAAAGACTCTCAATCATTCCATCAAAAAGTAGATTGATCTTTTAACATATACTATTATAAAATAAGCAAAAAGGAACAATTCGATTGTAAAAATCTACATATTCTTTCTACCTATTTTTAGTAATAAAATAAATGATTTTCAATGTTATCTAAGGAAATTATTAGATGCAAGGAATAATTGAGAAATCTTTAAGAATTTTTTACTGCATTATCTTTTTTTTCTTTTGGTTGATAAGAATTAAGAATGTCAAAATTGAAGTGATAAGCTTAGATAAGGTTAAAATATTCCAAATTAGAAATGATAAATGTTTTTTATATTCCATAAACAAAGAGAGTCTAAAGGTATATTTACTTTTTCCCCACTTATGTAAATTTAAAAAATAATTAAATTCAAGATAAAATTTTATTGTGATTTTTAAATTGATATAATCGTTTTTACTTTTTCTATATTATAAAATTTTATTTTAAGTTATGGCAAAAGGAACACCTACTAGAAGGTATTAATGTATACATATATATAAACGGAGCGGATTCATGATTTAAATATATAAAAATGTGAGCGGGCGGATTACGCAATTTAAATTTTATGTTTTAATATAATAATATTTTAAAGAAAAAATACTAGAGCAAGTTGGTGAAGCAATTGAGGTTCTATGGTGTAGTGGTTAGCACTCTGGACTTTGAATCCAGACACAGGTTCGACTCAGTAGGACCTTTTAATTTTAATTTATGTGATTTCATATATTATTTTTGAAATTTACTTATTGAAAAAAGATAATAATTGGATTATTGATAAACAATTGATGCCAAAAGCTACATGCAGCTGTTCGAACACCCAGGATCAACGTCGAGGAGGCACGGTGCTAGACTCGGCATCTGCGATGGTGCGGCGGCGACGAGCGTGGAGGAGTACGAAAAGAGTGTGGTTGTCCATTCTTGTTCTTGACCAAACTTAACCTTGTTGAGTAACAAGGGACGAGCCTTCCATTGATTTTTACGCAAAATGCACACTCATCAAGCGCCCAACTTTAGGAGATCGTCGCGATTGATTGAAAGTGCGAAATTTGAAACGGTGTGGTCCCCCAGGTGATGGTGAAGCAACAAACACAACAGGAGTAGTAGGTGTTTTTGACCTTTTATCAGCTTGGGACCAATCTGAGTCTTTTACGCAATGAAGTTCATGGACAATGAATCAGCTGTGGGGAGAGTCGATGAAAGAGATTGTTCAACGGTACTTCAAAATCGAGAACGTAATGCCATCAAAAATTGAACCAAACGTTGTTCTTCCCTCCTTGATATATGGCGCAAAATCTTTCAGTGATTGATGGGGGCATTGATCCCACAAATCGAGGCATAGCGGTATAGAAATCTTGAATGCTTATAGCATTATTTGTTGAAGAGCACGAATATCGTATTCCCTGAGTAGTGCGCCGCAAAAATTAGGCCAGGATGTACAGTCTCTCCAAGTGATCCCAGTTTCTTTTGTTGTGTCATATTTAGCCAATTGCACACCAATTGGCGAGTTGCGAGTTAATCAGTGATAACCTTGGAGTTAGCGATTTCCATAAATCAACGCGATGCAAAAGTTTCGGCCTTCTCATCATTAGGTTTGGATATAACCCGATAACATAGCCCACGTATTCTTGCCACGAAGAAAATTCTTCATGACATAACTCAGATACGCATAATTTTGACCATCTAATTGAGTGTTAATGGATTGGAGAAAATCATCTTTTCTAGCCATATTGAAAAAGCAAAGTGAATACGGCAAGATAAACGACTGAAAACAACGTAAGAGCAAAAATACCACTAGTCAAACATCAAAACAAACCAACAACGTAGTCAATTCAAACCAAACCAACAACAGACATCAACAATAGATCTAAAAACGGATCTAGCGGAATTAGTGGTTACTTACAAATAGGGAGGATGTTATTTTGGAGGCTCACAATACGAAATTGTTTGATATATAACGAGGTTTTATTAAAGAACAAGAAAAGAAAGAGAAAGAATCAAAAGGCTAGCTTTGCAAAGTTAAAATAAGAGAATAGAAGACTATATTCTAGAATGGGGAAGGGGAATTAACTTTTTATATATGGCGTAAGGCTATAGCCACTTCAGAAGCGTCCTGGCCCAATAATTATGAGGTAACGACGGGATACATTTATGAGAATGCACTCCCAACAAAATTTATTTCATTCTCAATATTTGAATTTGAAACTTTAGACTAAAAACGAAAAACTCTCAATCATTTCCATCAAAAAGTAGATTGATCTTTTAACCTATACTATTATAAATAAGCAAAAAGGAACAATTCGATTGTGAAATCTACATATTCTTTCTATCTATTTTTATTTAATAAAATAAATGATTTTCAATGTTATCTAAGGAAATTATTAGATGCAAAAAGGCGGAGTGAAATCTTTAGAATTTTTTACTGCATTTATCTTTTTTTTCTTTCGGTTGATAAGAATTAAGAATGTCAAAATTGAAGTGATAAGCTTAGATAAGGTAAAAATATTCCAAATTGGAAATGATAAATGTTTTTATATTCCATAAACAAAGAGAGTCTAAAGGTATATTGCCTTTCCCCACATATGTACTTTTTATAAATAAAAAAAATCAAGATAAAATTTTAGTGTGATTTTTTAAATTGATATAATAGTTTTACTTTTTTCTATATTATAAAATTTTATTTTAAGTTATGGCAAAGGAGCACCTGCTAGAGGTATTAATGTATACACTATATATAAACGGAAGCGGATTCGCGGATTAAATATAAAAATGTGAGCGGGCCCAGTTATTTTAAATTTATGTTTAATATAATAATATTTTAAAGAAAAATGCAGAAGCCAGTTGGCTGGAAAGCATTGAGGTTACATGGTGCTTTAGTGGTTAGCACTCTGGACTTTGAATCCAGCGACCTGGGTTCGACTCCCGGTAGGACCTTTTTTAATTTTAATTTATGTGATATCATATATTATTTTGAAATTTATAATTGAAAAGATAATAATTGGATTTGACCAGTTTTGGCTTTTCCTAATTGTTTAAACTGAAAAGACTAATCAATTAAGTTAATGAAAAGAATATATTCTGTTTGACTAGGTTTTTAAGAAGATAAAAATGTTATTTTTTAATTAAAAAAAATTAATATTTATATTAGATATTTGAGGTATTTGATTAGAAGTTTTTAGGAAATAGTATTCTTTTGAATAATAACAAAAACTGTTTTAATTAAAATAAGTAATTTTTAAAAATTTGGCCAACAAATGAATGGTCTAAATCACTAGACAAACTCAATGGTTGGGCTTCTCACTACTCATCCCTTAACAATATATATATTATATAATTCTAATAAAGTTCTAAATCATGTAATGGTGTGCCATTAGTGAAAACAAACAAACAAAAAAAGTGTTTTAAATTTAGCATGCTCAATTTGCACAAAAGGTGTTTCAAAGTTGGAATGTCCTTTCACCCAAAAAATAATAATAATAGAAAGAAAGAACTACTAAAAAAAGATTGGAATATAATATTCTCCATAAATGGGATGAATGGAACAAAGAATCATTGCATTATAAAAACACAATATTTGAGGCTAGTATGCTTTCAAGAATTTTGCCCTCTTTGAAGCTTCTTCCTCTTTTTTCCCCCACCCTCACTTAATTACTATGTCATCATTAGTTCACTTTTATGGTTATAATATTCCTCTTTTTGCAAATGTGATCAAGTTTTCCCCTTTAAAATCCAAGACAAGGGCCTTTGGTCTCTTTGCAAGCAACAAATTAGCCAATATGGAACAAGAAAGAAAAAATGGAGTTCTTCAAGAAGAGAGATCAATGGATATTAGTCTTAAAGACTTGTCCAAACAACTTGAAGGAAATATGGAAGTTCATGAGGGATCAATGGATATTAGTCTCAAAGACCTCTCCAAGCAACTTGAAGATTTTGCCAAGGTTAGAAATTGGGAAAAGTATCACAGCCCAAGGAATTTGCTACTTGCCATGGTAATTGATTCTTTTACTATTAATTCCATTCAGAGTGTACAAATAACATTCACTGTCTACTTTTAAGTGACATATTAGAAAAATAATCACTTGTCGTGGAGTTTCAAAGTTTCACCTGCGGAATTTCAGAGACTGAAAAATAATTATTTGCGAGTTTTGTCGGGATTCGTTGTCGGATTCAAGATTTTTGATATATTTAATTTTTTGAGTTTTTTTAACACTGAACATACGTGGTTCCAT